TAAATAAAAAAGGCACTGATGTAATATTACTTCAGTAATCAATAATCACAACCATGGTTGTTTTCAAAGATATCGATTATTTGTTGTCTTGTAAATAAACATTAACATAGATTTTTGTTCGTTCAGTGTCTAGTTCAAAAACAACACACAGCACAGTACAAATTAAAAGAATCCGGAGACATTTTGTAAAAAAACTTATATAAACAAAAAATGATTTCATCATAATATTCCGTGTAATATCATTTATTTTCATTCAACCTAGCCAAGCTCTCTACAAAAGAAAATCTTCATATATTTGTTTTCGGAACAAACGCTAAATGCATCAAATACGTGCAATATATTATCAATCTACCCAGCAACATCATCTTATCTGTATGTGAATGGAGGTTGTTTTTGCAAATAAAAACAGACGAAAGAAAATATAAAATTCACAATTTTTTCCTTCAAACACGGTGAATTACGGTTAATATGATAAAACAATTTTGGGTGTCATCCCTTGATATTAACCGTGGCATATGAAAAGATTTCAAAGCCATGGAAATTAGCTATCTTTTAAAGTGTTACAGGGATAGGACAGGGACGCGGGAGTTTCGCTTGTAAAAACAAGAGGAACTACATGTAATATATATATTCTGGTAAATTGAGTACTTATGTATAAAGAAGCATGTGGCTTCGCGCCATTTCTGACCCCAACTGTCGTCAATGTGGCCCCATATCGACACACGATAACTTTATAGATAATTTATATCAGGAAGTGGGCGGGGTTTATTGCCTAGCAGTGTTGGTATTGTAACAGTTGGTATATTTCAAAGTCAGTACGTATGTTTTGAAACTCTTCCTTCCCTGAATGTAACACCCTACGGCAATAACCTGATACACAAACAAGTCTTTGGAAATCACATCCAAAGTCTTACTACTTTAGGGGCTCCGGCTTCTATGTGTTGTTTTCACGATCTCTATGGAGTCTGTACGCATTCACAAAAAAAAAAAAAAAACGATTTCGAACACTGAAAGGCAGTATCTTAAGATAGCACTGACTTAAGGTTGCATTGGTCGGGGGATATCGAAGGAACTTCTAAACTTAGAAATCTGGTTATTTTTTACTATAAACAGGGGGACAAGTAACCAACCTCTTTATGCGTAACCCAAATCATTCATGAATATACAGCATCACAAGTTGGGATCGGTTACACAAACCGACTGATTACGTTTTGTTATGTGTTTCGCACACGCTCCTACCTACAATATCATAATAGGGAGCCAACATCTGCCCCTTATCTTTCCAGCTGTGTAATAACGCCAGAGATGGTGATAACCGCATATGGGCCACGCGCTTCTGAACAATTGACACAGCAAGTGGGAATACTGAATGATCAAATATTTCTGAAACTGCAAGGCGTTTAAAAGAATCAAGTTGCAAGCCAATTGTTTTTTGTATACATAAAATCATTCTTTCACCTACACTTTTTTTGACTTTTACGTCAGTAAATATTTTATCCAGCTGGGTTCATCGGTTGCCTTGAAGCGTGTTGATATTATTTCAACAGGTCGATGGCACGTGTTTACGCGATCATGGCAACAAAAGTGGGCGTGAAGGCCTGTTGTTTATTGGAGTTTGCCTATGTATGACAGAGAAACACACATATCCCTCCTCCCCCTCCCTTGATTCCCCTTTACAACACATTACTTCCCCTCAACCCGACGAAGACAACGCGAATCGCATTGTTGCATCTATAGTCTGTTTCACCTATTAACTGTATCAAGGTTTACTGTTACACGAGTATTAGTGTACAGCATACGTAACCACAGAGAACGTTTCCGTGTCATGACGTAATCCTATAATCGCACCAACAGCGATACATTAGTCTATTCTCAAAGAACTGCGCCAGTGTAGGAGCTGTAACAAGAGATGGGACAAGATGCGTGTAGGTTAGTATGGAACCCGAACCCGAAACCCAGAATTTTAGACGGTCCAGCTAAACTGCAAAGGGTTCGAATTCTTGAGTGCCCTCCTCCCCTCCTCCACCCCCTTCCCCAACCAACCCTAACACACACCACCTTTTAGAAATGCTGAATGGGCGAAAACTAAAAAACAAATTCACCTAACTTAGAGGATGTCTTATACAGATTAAATTGCTGAATATCTCAGTCACTATTACTATCAAGTATCTATATATTTATACTGTACCTTATACTGTCCTGTAGACAGTGGTTTAAATATCCAATAACAGTGAAAACATTATAATGAAGTGATTAACTGAATTCGATGTCAGTTTATAACCTACTGAGATTTGAAAAAAAAAAAAAAAAAAAAGCAGATTTAGGACACTTAACTCTCAATACAAGTAATGAAGTCATTTATGCCCGGGGCAGGAACCCTAAGAACGCGGGAAAACATAGTATTCTTTTCTCTCAGAGAGCTACAACCCATCGCACTCGACATTTACAATATCTCAAATGAAATCCGTAGAAGCATCATTGCTACATCACTGCGTGTTTTGAATACTTCTACTAAAACTGTTAGAATAGGATTTCATTAATTAGCGTACTACACTTTTTAAAACCTTGCTAACATTAGTACATAATGTAAATCGTCTATCTGAACTTCTATATAATGTTTATCTGTTATAATTTCAAAGTAAATGTTAAAAATATAAAATCGACAAAAGTTGACGCCACTTACAATAAAAATCATTAATAGAAAGTCAACTATTTTTCTTCTAACGTTAAAATTTCGACATAATGTCTCTCCTTTATCAATCAATAAATACTGTGGAATACTTCGTCGTCATGCGTCTGTGTTCTAGTATACCATCACTGTACAATCAATTGAGTTTTGCCGAAAGCCAGAGTCAGGTTAAGGGCACTAAACACCCGATACAAAAAATGACGTCATTTACGGATTGCAAAGGAAACATTTAATGAGGCTTGGCGCCGGTAAAGGAAAAGTCACAGAGACAGAAAACCAGTGTACTAACCAACAACTAACCAACCAACCATCCGTGACATGTCGCTAGGAAAAGTCACGGAGAAGGAAAACCTGTTAACCAACCAACCAATAAACCAGCCAATCAACAAACAGCAAACTAACCAACTAACCAACCATCCGTGACATGTCGCTAGGAAGATTTACGGAGAGGAAAACCTGTTAACCAACCAACCAATAAACCAGCCAATCAACATACAGCCAACTAACTAACCAACCAACCATCCGTGACATGTCGCTAGGAAGATTTACGGAGAGGAAAACCTGTTAACCAACCAACCAATAAACCAGCCAATCAACAAACAGCAAACTAACTAACCAACCAACCATCCGTGACATGTCGCTAGGAAGATTTACGGAGAGGAAAACCTGTTAACCAACCAACCAATAAACCAGCCAATCAACAAACAGCAAACTAACTAACCAACCAACCATCCGTGACATGTCGCTAGGAAGATTTACGGAGAGGAAAACCTGTTAACCAACCAACCAATAAACCAGCCAATCAACAAACAGCAAACTAACTAACCAACTAACCAACCAACCAACCAACCATTCGTGACATGTCGCTAGGAAGATTTATGGAGACGGAAAATCTATAAACCAACCAACCAACAACCAACTCATCACACGTCGCCTAAACACCGAGATTTCTGGCCGAGAAAGGAAAAGTCGACGGAAAACTTGTATACCATCGAACCAACCAACCAATCGACCAAACCACCGCTCATCGACAGAACACTGACACTCATCAGTGACATAGGAAGAGTCACGGAGACAGAAAACCCGTATACATACCAACCAACCACCATCAGAACACTGACACTTATCAGTGACATAGGAAGAGTCATGGAGACAGAAAACCCGTATACATACCAACCAATCGACCAAACCACCGCTCATCGACAGAACACTGACATTCATCAGTGACATAGGAAGAGTCACGGAGACAGAAAACCCGTATACATACCAACCAATCGACCAAACCACCGCTTATCGACAGAACACTGACACTTATCAGTGACATAGGAAGAGTCATGGAGACAGAAAACCCGTATACATACCAACCAACCGACCAAACCACCGCTCGTCGCCAGAACACTTGAAACACTATACATTACGTGACGACAAATACAGCTTGATAGTTAGATTGTACTTTGAAAGTTCAAGATAAGAAACAGGAGCCAGTATAATCATGCATTTAAAAATTCCTTATATATACAAAGTGCCGTGAAAAATAATTTATTGTCTTACAATAAAACTCCGATAAAATGCCATCCAAGCCTTAATCTGGTGAACTGGCAACATACCATGTTTGACACACAGCTAATTACACACCGCCGCCGGTCTTTAATCGCCATTTTGATGGTGTCGGTATACAAAGGATTGTCATTATATCGAGGTTTTATAGTCATAGTGATGAAGCATGGGCCGGGAAACTATATACCGTATGATGTAAACGAAAAATTTGTAATGAGAAAACTTTGGGACAATATATCGACGATTGACAATACAGGGAATACCTAGGAAATCTTCTTAAGGTCTCTGGTCACGGTAAATAAAGCTAGTGCTCGATTTACCGAAATTCAACATCGCGTGAAGTTTGATATCACGTGAAATTCAACATCGCGTGTTTTGGGTTTCCTTAAGAATTCCGTTTTATATCTTCCAAATTTAAGCGAGAATTAATCTGAATCGTATGGAAGCATTAACATAGATACATATCGGATGTATTTTGAAACAGACTATAGCTCATCTCTGTGTGGAGAGTCGTATTTCATTGGTACTAATTTGGTTTGTAGGGTCTGCTTTTCGCTTCTGCTTGTGCTGGTACCGCTAACTAGGTCTTTAAAAATTTTATGGTTTGTTTAAAAGATAATATTCAAATTAACCATACTTTTGATTTCCATGACATAGTTGTCCGTTTATGGTGAAAGTATGGTGAAATATTCGCAAAGGCTCGTGAATGCCCTTGAGAAGGAATTTTCGTTGGATCAAAAAAATGTGTACGTACCTTTTTCACAGACAGCTGTGAATTGAAATCTGTTCCTCCCTGTAGCCTGAATCCCCAGGGATCCATGGGGCTATTTCTTTGAAGCTGGATATATGTCTGCATGATGACAAGTGTATATTTGGAATGCTTAAAAGCTCTTTAAAACCGAAATGGACGGAAATTCACCAAGATTAATCTTTTTCCTATTCCACAGGATAAGTATACGTTTGTTAAGTTGGAAACCTCCTCCCGTATGCACCAGACACAGGTATAACCCCTCCTAATTCCGAGGTTCTCGCACCTTCCGAGATTTGACGATATATAAGGAAGAACGGACCGTTCTGTCGTGGCTGTCCTAACACACTCTGATAGGCGTAGGGGAGTGCGCCAGTGAGAATATGATAAAGGGGAAGGGAAGGGGGTCTAGATGCCGTAACAGATAGATATTTCTGTAAACGTGTTCTATATATATCAACGCAGTGTATACATACACGTTAGTGCGCGCGAGGCAGACGAACAGCAAAGCACGCGCGGAATGCAGTGGTCGCTACAGGGGATGTTCCCTCTCTATCGTCTTCACTCCACCTTTCCAACCTTGATTTCATGACCTTTGCCAAAGTTAGTAAATGACTTGTACTTCAGTATCTTTGTTTCGTTATGTTGGAACATCATGTATAAATTATGGTGGGCTGGACAAGGAATTTGTCGGATTGCAGGTGGCGTGCAAACGATAGCTCCCGAGATAAGAGCACCAATTTATCGATAATCTGCATGTGTAGACAAGGATTGGAATATGTTATTTGTCATTGTTCTTCAGTAAATATACTTCAATATAGATAAAGTATTTCTTAAAACTTATCTATAATTACTGAAGATATTGATGCAAGTTATAATAGTTTATAGTAAAAAATACCAACAATAGCGATAGACAAAATGATCCAAAAACCCTTTCTCTACAAAAATCAATAAAGAAATCCCAGAGAGAGAGATAGAGGGGGAGGGGGAGGGAGAGAGAGAGGGGGGAGAGGGGGTAGCAAGAGAGAGAGAGAGGGGGGAGGGAGAGAGCGAGAAGGGGGGGGGGGGGGGTGGGGGGGGGGGTAGCGAGAAAGAGAGAGAGAGAGGGGGGCAGGGAGGGAGAGAGCGGCCATACATGTATAGTTAGTATCATGGGGGGGGTAGAGTTAGAGAGAGAGATCAGACATGGTTGTATAGTTAGTCGTGTGTAACGTCTCAGACATAATTATATAGTTAGTCGTGTGTAACGTCTCAGACATAATTATATAGTTAGGAGTGTGTAATGTCTCAGACATAATTATATAGTTAGTCGTGTGTAACGTCTCAGACATAATTATATAGTTAGTCGTGTGTAACGTCTCAGACATAATTATATAGTTAGTAGTGTGTAACGTCTCAGACATAATTGTATAGTTAGTAGTGTGTAATGTCTCAGACATAATTATATAGTTAGTCGTGTGTAACGTCTCAGACATAGATGTAGAGTTAGTAGTGTATAACGTCTCAGACATAATTGTATAGTTAGTAGTGTGTAACGTCTCAGACATAATTATATAGTTAGTCGTGTGTAACGTCTCAGACATAGATGTATAGTTAGTAGTGTGTAATGTCTCAGACATAATTGTATAGTTAGTAGTGTGTAATAGTTAGTAGTGTATAACGTCTCAGACATAGATGTATAGTTAGTAGTGTGTAATGTCTCAGACATAATTGTATAGTTAGTAGTGTGTAACGTCTCAGACATAATTATATAGTTAGTCGTGTGTACGTATAGTTAGTTAGTGTGTAACGTCTCAGACATAATTGTATAGTTAGTAGTGTGTAACGACATAATTATATAGTTAGTCGTGTGTAACGTCTAGACATAAATTATATAGACATAATTATATAGTTAGTCGTGTGTAACGTCTCAGACTTAATTATTGTTCGTTGTTATTCGTGTGTAACGTCTCAGTTAGTAGTGTGTAACGTCTCAGACATAATTATATAGTTAGTCGTGTGTAACGTCTCAGACATAGATGTAGAGTTAGTAGTGTATAACGTCTCAGACATAGATGTATAGTTAGTAGTGTGTAATGTCTCAGACATAATTGTATAGTTAGTAGTGTGTAACGTCTCAGACATAATTATATAGTTAGTCGTGTGTAACGTCTCAGACATAATTATATAGTTAGTAGTGTGTAATATCTCAGACATAATTATATAGTTAGTCGTGTGTAATGTCTCAGACATAATTGTATAGTTAGTAGTGTGTAACGTCTCAGACATAATTATATAGTTAGTAGTGTGTAACGTCTCAGACATAATTGTATAGTTAGTAGTGTGTAACGTCTCAGACATAGTTGTATAGTTAGTAGTGTGTAACGTCTCAGACATAATTATATCGTTAGTAGTGTGTAACGTCTCAGACATAGTTGTATAGTTAGTAGTGTGTAACGTCTCAGACATAATTGTATAGTTAGTAGTGTGTAACGTCTCAGACATAGACATTATAGTATAGTAGTGTGTAGTGTGTGTGTCTCAGACATAATTGTATAGTTAGTAGTGTGTAACGTCTCAGACATAATTGTATAGTAAGTAGTGTATAACGTCTCAGATATGGTAGTATAGTTAGTAGTGTGTAACGTCTCAGACATAATTGTATAGTTAGTCGTGTGTAACGTCTCAGGCATAATTAAATAGTTAATAGTGTGTAACGTCTCAGATATAATTGTATGGTTAGTAGTGTGTAACGTCTCAGGCATGGTTGTATAGTTAGTCGTGTGTAACGTCTCAGACCTCAGATATAATTATATAGTTAATAGTGTGTAACGTCTCAGACATAATTGTATAGTTAGTCGTGTGTATAGTTAGTAGTGTGTAACGTCTCAGACATAGATGTATAGTTAGTAGTGTGTAATGTCTCAGACATAATTGTATAGTTAGTAGTGTGTAACGTCTCAGACATAATTATATAGTTAGTCGTGTGTAACGTCTCAGACATAGATGTAGAGTTAGTAGTGTGTAACGTCTCAGACATGGTTGTATAGTTAGTCGTGTGTAATGTCTCAGACATGGTTGTATAGTTAGTAGTGTGTAACGTCTCAGACATGGTAGTATAGTTAGTTGTGTGTAACGTCTCAGACATGGTTGTATAGTTAGTAGTGTGTAATGTCTCAGACATAGTTGTAGAGTTAGTAGTGTGTAACGTCTCAGATATGGTAGTATAGTTAGTAGTGTGTAACGTCTCAGACATAATTGTATAGTTAGTAGTGTGTAACGTCTCAGACATAATTATATAGTTATTAGTGTGTAACGTCTCAGACATAATTATATAGTTAGTAGTGTGTAATGTCTCAGACATAGTTGTATAGTTAGTAGTGTGTAATGTCTCAGACATAATTGTATAGTTAGTAGTGTGTAACGTCAGACAGACATAATTATATAGTTAGTAGTGTGTAATGTCTCAGACATAGTTGTATAGGTAGTAGTGTGTAACGTCTCAGACATAGTTGTATAGTTAGTAGTGTGTAACGTCTCAGACATAGTTGTATAGGTAGTAGTGTGTAACGTCTCAGATATAATTATATAGTTAGTAGTGTGTAACGTCTCAGACATAGTTGTATAGTTAGTAGTGTGTAACGTCTCAGACATAGTTGTATAGGTAGTCGTGTGTAACGTCTCAGACATAATTGTATAGTTAGGAGTGTGTAATGTCTCAGACATAATTATATAGTTAGTCGTGTGTAACGTCTCAGACATAGATGTAGAGTTAGTAGTGTGTAACGTCTCAGACATAATTGTATAGTTAGTAATATGCAACGTCTGAGACATAATTATATAGTTAGTAGTGTATAACGTCTCAGGCATATATGTATAGTAATTAGCGTGTAACGTCTCAGACATAGTTATATAGTAAATATTGATTTTTTATGCTTTGCAATGGAAAAAATAAAGTATTGTTGAAATTCATGATATGCTTTCCGCATGTGTTCGTAAACTTAAACATCTACCCATAACTTCATATGGAATAACTAGTTCAATATGAACGGACAATAACTTAAATGTAACAATATAATCACCGCATGTGACTGACGCTTATATCATGTATCATAGAAATGACAAAGCATATGGTGTCTTCCTTTTCTGTTCGGCATCAAAACAATATTATGAACATGATCGTCAACTCTAAACTCCAAATAAGGCGGATTATTTATCTTGATAAAAAAAAACTGATACAGGGGACATAACTCTTAATACCAAGATGCATCGTCAAAGTTATTAGTTAAGCGGTGCATGCCTAAATAATATAACTACAACAGGTTATTTTCTCAGATATTGAGAAAGAAAGCACGAGTTATCTCCCTTGATCCATGCGGTGAACAACGTTGAATGAGTCCGTTTAGTTGAGTTAACAAGTAAAAGGGGAGGGAGGGAGACAGTTGGATGAGAGAGGAGGTGGAGGGGTGGGAATGGTAGAAAGAGAAATGGCGAAAGAAATGAAGTATGGTGGGTGATCATTTGCTCAGGAATGTTAAAATGGGTCTTCTTCTTCGAAGAAGACTCGCCAATCCTCATGAACAAGACAAACAACAACGAAACCATTTACACTAAACTGTAATGTACATCATCGCACAATTGATACTGGAAACAAGAATATCGAATCAGCAGTGACATGTCAACTTCATTCTTTTGAGAAGTGGGCAGCAACCTTGTTGTCTAGAAACGGAAAATTCGTGATAAAGAAATCGACATTTAGTTGATAAAGCGTACGTGTTGGTTATAGGTAAATTTGAGGTTTAGTTGCTAATGTAGAGGAGTCTCTCATATATCTAGCAGTGAAATTTAAGAACCTATCCAGTTCTGCTCCATAAGTTCTGCAATCCACCAGAAATTTTATCGTTTTCACCATTTCATCGTCAGTACATTTCGTTTTGGCATCGACGTACTTTTTCAGAAAATACATGCAAACTTCAATCATTGTTTTGTCAACACTCCGTCGACCTGTCGTCATCCGATATTGCCGTTCACTGTTGTATATATATGTGGGAAAATTCTTGTACATTTAGCTGGTCACGTGACAGGAGACTTGAACTAGTAATCAAATATGTATACTGTGTATTAAGAAAGAAAGAAAGAAAGTTTGCAACTGATACAAACCATATATGTACCCGTCAGGAAACAAAAATGCTGCTTGTTGGGTAATCAACAGTTTCATTGGATCATCTTTGTGGAATTATGTGAGAATGAATATTCATGAATAGGACACACTTCTATGAAATTGTAGAAATTGACACATACTAGAAAGTAAGTTAATTACTAGAATATTTGACCTAGTTACCCTATTTCAATCGTATCAAAATATATCA